TCGAAATACCCACTGAGCGAGCGGTCAAGGTGGCAACCTACCGATCTGGGGTACCCGGGTTCGAATTTGAACGAGTCGAAAAATCCCAGGAGTTTTTCGGCGGTGGTCCGTTCGGATATGTCGTGCCCCGTCCCTCACCACTCGGCAGCTCCATTATGGGCCTGACCGAACACATAATGGGGTTGCAAAAAGAGGCCCTCTTAGTGCCCACAGGGCGGAAAGAATTAAAAAAAAAACCCCACTGAGCGAATTTCCCAACTTTCCAATGCGGTATTCTTAGTATCGTACGGAAGCGTCCACTAATTACTCTTTTTAATCTATTTTTCACCTCTCTGTTGCGTACAATGATGTACTGTACTTTCGATAACCTCGTAAGCCTTATTCATAACAGTATTGGAACTGGTAGTTCACACTGGCACTGTCTCAACACTTGCTGCGGAACGGTTTCTACCCAGAACTAACCACTTCTATTGTTTTCCTCAAAAGTAGAACCAGGAAATTAACTTTTATCTCTATACTTTACAACAGTAAAGATAGAAACAACAGTCAAACCTATATATAGAGACATCTTCGTAAAACACCAATGAACATTTACCCATAAATATTAAACAGAAACTTCTCGTTATCCGTGAATTGCTAAAATCTACAATATGCGAAGACCTCATAATTATACACAATTCCTACTATCCGACATACTTCGATTTAGTGCCAATTTCGGAGTCGTTCTGCCGCTAAATCGAGGCTTGCGTATATTTTTCTTGTGTGTATTCCTATTCTTCTCGGAAAGGTCTGGTATAAATCTACGCCAGTTGAACGTATTTGTGAAAATACGACATTTCCAAATTATTACTTCTTAAAGACAAAACTGATGGATGATATCCAAGGGAGAATGGATCTAAGAGAATTTGAACAAATAATTGAAAAAATTTCCATAAAAATGTCCTAAAACAGGAGAAAGACGTTATACAGTAGAGTCTCGATAACCCGGCAGTCCGGATAACTAGGCCACACTCTGGCAGGGCAAAAAAAATCCTTAGTTAATTAATTTTCATTATAGACAGCTTTATGCCTCATAAAGTATTTTTCTGAGGTCTGTCTTATCAGGTAAATTACTGTACACAGTGTATTCATTAATTTTCATTTTCATGTAGTAAAGGCTCTATGCCTTCATAAAGAACGTACTTTTCCTTTGTTTAAGGGTATTTGGGCAGTTTATTCTCTGTTGTATTCTCAAGTAAACAATACATACAAGTACAGTACAGTATTTTCTGAGGAAACACTCATACATATTTTTTTTAACCCAATTCCCGATAACCCGGCATTTTCACAAACGCGGCCACCCTTCGGTCCACATTAGGCCGAGTTTTCGAGACTCTACTGTATAAACTTCTGAGAAATTAAAATTCTAAGTCTTTTGCATTATTTTTACAATTCCAAAATCTTTTGTTTAAAAATCGTAACTTTACAATGATTTTCGCTGAATTTTGAAGTAGAATTAGCATCATTTTCAAGCAACAAATACTTCATTGCTTCGCAGATAGGGGTCATGTATCTTTAAACAGGAATTCCTAATAAAATAATCACTATATAATGCATTACACACAAAATAATGCAAGATAAGTAATTATTTTCATTCAAATTCTAAGCCGGGGACGTGACTAAAATGCGAAACGAACGAGACACTAACTCCATCTGTTAATCTTTATTGAAATTTCCTTAAAAAACAGCCACCCTATTGTTCCCATACATCGCACGGATTACAAAAGTTCCCACGGTAATATGTTCTGCAAGTTTTAAAATATGTAATTTTACAATAAACCCTCTAATTATTCGTCTTTACTGATCTAAACACGTGTAATGCAGATTAAATAGCGTGATTTTTAATTCGTTCCGACACCTTCCATATAAAAATCAAAGTTGTGCTGCACCGTGAGCGTAAATAGGTTAATGATGCATAAAATATGATTTAAAAAAAATATAAATAGCTTGTTAATGATCTTGATCTACTTTAACAATCGTTAGATAGGCGATAAATTAGTTATAGAATATGTTTCATTTTCTATTTGTGTGAATTCGTGGTAGTTTTAATCAGGGCTGTGGAGTCACAGTCGGAATAGTGGAGTTTTGGTGTTTTAACCGGAGTCGGAGTCGTCAAAAAATCGCCGACTCCGACTCCTTTTTACTTCTCAACTTGTAATGTATATAAAACGGAAAAGTATTGGAATCGTGTCAAATTTGACCCTCGAAGTTGTTTTTTTTTGAAAATCTACACATTTGGAGACCCCTGAACCCTCAAAAAAGTCAGTAAAGGGGAAAAATTCGCGCACGTGTGTGTGTTGGCATCTAATTTGTTTAATTTCTTTATTTTCTGTTCTGAGATATTAAACAATATCTCAGAATGGGTAAAGTTTAAGAAAAGAAATGTGGCACTGTAGCTTGCGTATAAAGGGACATTAATACTATTAAATTTTGGTTCTTAATTAAAGATCGACAGGGTGAAGACATAAAAGTGTTCATGTGTCATATCTCTTAATGAATATTTTACTCGTTATTAGTGTTCAAAAAAATAATAATAATAAAATAAAACTCGTCTCTACCCTCAAAGAAAGCATTTTTTGTCATTTTATAATAGTACAGTAAAACCCGTTAAGATGTTCTCGCCTAAGATGTTATAATGTTTTAGTTCACGATTTAGTTCAACCACTTTGACGCTTAATAACTAACTCTTGTCTTAAACTATCTGACTCCGATACTGACAATTGACCACAGAAATTATTAGGCTTCAAACAGGGTGAACGAAATCATGCTCCGCACACACAGTCTAACATCCACACATATAGAAAAAAAAAACTCGAATCTTTTGTATATCTCGAAATTTCAAAGTGTCCCGAGTCAAAAAATGTAAAAATTTGGGAGGGGTCATTTTTTGACCGAGCGCTACACTTTCCCCCTGTTATATATAACAGCCGGAAAAGTAAAAATTATCCAATACATGTTTATATATTACTTAGAGGAGTCTTAGAGCGTAGAAACTTTTTATTCCAAAGCTATATCTTTATTAGAACTCTATTTATTGAATATTTTATTCTGAGGTCACGTGATGACATCAGAATTTCCGAGTCTCTTTCGGTAACAAGTCCGTCCCTGGTCGGAGTCGGTTTTAATGGCTTTTCTTGCACGGATTACAAAGGTCACTTTTCTCAAAATTTTACTACTTTAAACACCAATCAATATATACATTAGATTCCTTTAAATGTTATGAAATCATTTTAACAGTAAATTTGATATTATCATTTAAAATTTCACGCAGTATAGTTATATATTACGCGCTTATATACTTTCATTTATAAAAATTATATATAATAAAATTTATAATTTTAATTCAAACTCGTATAAACAACCGTCTTATAAACCAGCTTCTATCAATTTATCCTACCACCATCGCATCGAGTAGATAAACAATGGAAAGCAAATAAAATCACCAAACTCGGAAGGCTGGTACTGTTGTCTGCTTTCTAACAATGTACAGTACTACGACATAAAATCGCTTTGTTTTATTTCGTACGTTCCTAACGATCTACATAAAAGTTCAATGAATGTATATTATAGTTCGATAACTCCTGCAATCATCGATATAAACGAGGGCAGAAGTTCATTGTGGTATAATCAATCGAACGGCGAGATTCGTTACTCGGATATTTCCAGAATTTTCGTTTACTTGGTGACTAAAACGTGATTTTCCCGAAATCTGTAATTAATTAGCGATTCGACGTTTAGAATTTCTAATAAATCCTGTAAAGAATGTAATTTCCAAACCTCGAATCCGAGTTGTTTGTGGTGAGGATGTCTATTGATATAAACAACAAAAAATGGAAAATAGAAACAGTAGTGACGAACACAACGGAATCTTTTATATACTCCCACTCGCTTCATTGTTTCGTAACAATTTAAACTTTGCCCGGTTCTAAATACAGTGAGTCACCAATTCATCACCCTCTACTGTTTAAACAGGACGATAACAAACGGCGGAAATGGGAAAAACATGGCGAGATTCTGCTAGAAAATATTCGAATTTAATAAAATTAAAATTAATTCTCGCTATAACGCCTACACTAAACGAAATATTCTTCCTCCTATTAAATAAAACTTGTAACTCTAAAACGTCCTTCGTTGTTTGCCATTCAAATACATCTAAATTGTGTTGGGAGTACACAGAGGAAGTAAAAACTGGAGTAAACAATTATCCACCTTTCAACTATAGTGGGAAGTATTGTGATGTAAATTTGGATTTCGTTACAATAAATCAAATTTTTCTTGGGATTTTTCGAGATCTGTTTCCTACATCTTTGTACCACTTATCAGAGGTAGATGTGGGAGAGTTTTGAGAACTGTAGTAATAATTACTGAAAGTGGAAACAACATAGTATATTTTAATACTATTTAGCATCAGAAAGATCACTTTCTAGGTCATTTTGTGGATTGATTTTACACTATGTATGTGTTCTTATCAATAGATAAAAATTTGTAATTTAGACATATGGCTCTAAGCTATGGCTCATAACATAGAATAAATCCTTCCCATTCTGCCATATAACAAGATTTAAATGTGTGTAAACCTCTGCCTTATTTGGCTGGTGTAAATCTAGCCCCACAGATAGTTTGCCATATCCTGGTTTTATGGAGGAGTTTTAAATTTGATTTGACCATGCAGAATCACTAAGATCTGATCTCGCTTTAGACACATCTTAGCAAGGATATATTTAGAGGAAAAGAATAATGTAGCTGTTTAATTGGAAACATTGCTCCTAATTAATTAGAATGTAATAATAATTGAAAAAATTTAAATGCTATAACAAAACTTCCTAATTAACATACCATGTCTTTTGAATGTAAATAAAATATATAAAATTTTATGTATATTTTTTATTTTGTAATAATTAAAAATGTTGTGTGTTAGTTACATTTTTATTAATTATAAAAAAAAATAGTTACCAACTTACATCAAAAATAGTCTTGTCAAAACAGCAAATCAATTGCAGATATTTTTCTTTAATCCTGTGTTGATAAATTGATTTTTATTAATAGAAACAGCCACATAACATCACGAAGAAACACACATTTCAATATTAATATTAATCAAATAGACAATTTATCTTCTTAAATAAAAAAAACTGCCATCTTCACTTTATCAAATCAACAGGAAACAAATTACATTATATAAGCATGTGTAGGGTTTTTATATATTGTTGTTTCTATAGATACTGTAAATAGAAACTAAAAATGCATTGATTAATTTAGCTTTTAAATGGCAGAAACTTGACTAATTCACCATTTAATTCTTAGATATTATAAGCCAATGATGCTAAAATTGCCCATAAATATAAATACATTCCAGCACTTACCTTTAGAAGAATGCAATTTAACAATAAAGCTTTAAAGTGTCTATACCAACCCAAAACAGTAGGCATTAGGTTATTTTAATGCAAGACCATGTTCCTTGGAAGATCTATAAACTTATTTTCAACATAATTCTGGAAATAAACATACTAAAAATACATTTATTTAAAATTAGTAGACAACTAAGCTATACTTTTTTTAACATAGACAAAATATTTGCTTTATTTACATAGATGTATTTGCATAAGTGTGACACACATCAACCTGGTCTAATTCAGGATTTCAACATATTAAAATTTGAAAAATGTAAATGCAAATAAGTAGATATTAAATAAGCAAGAATATTGTATTCTCATCTTTCATATGCAAACACATTTGTAATTATTATTGATCAATCAATAGTTGCAAGGATGCATTTTCTTTGTGTACACTAGCAGGCAGATCAATAATCATTGCAAATACATTCCTTATTTCATTGCCAGACTGTTATCATTATCATCCTCCTACTCTTCATCATCATAAACAATTCCAGTTTGGATTTTTGGATTTGTTCCACTTAAAGTTAGCTAATATTTATTTAAGTCTTGTAAAGAAAAAATATGTTTTTATTCACTCAGTTATATTTATCATTTAGCTGCCAATAGCTCTTTTATTGTGTCACAGTTTGCTCTGTCATTATCCTCTCTTTTTCTTTCCACTGATCGTTTAGTTCCTGTTACACAAATAAGTAATACGCCTATATTTTTAACCGTTCTTTTGTAACGACGTTTTACTCATCAAAATGCCCTAGAAAACTTGTTTATTTGCTTGTAAACCGACTTATGGGGTGATGTATGATGTAGCTACAAACATCTTACTAATAAAACACAAATATTCATTGATTGCGTTACATAGCCTGTCTTCCTCTTCTGTTATAAAGCTATCCTACTTAAAAACATTAATAATTATATTTGTTTTGTGTAATAACTCTGTAAAGAGGCCAACGTGTCAAACGCGCATCCAACCGACTCCATTTTTTTTTCTTTTTTGGTAAGAAGCAAAAAAGTAAACCGATTTTCCACTATCCAGACGCGAGTGTGAGTTGTTTTGTGCGAAAAAAATCGCACAAAATCAATAACAATACCCAACAATGACGCAGAAGCACCCGAACGCGCTATTCAACGTCCGTAAATTCCGCACCGCCCATTAGTCTAACTGCCGAATGACACTAAAAACACATCTGTAAATTATTTTAAAAAATGGTAATAAATCCGATACTTATTAAAACTTAACAGGGTTTAAAATATTTTCCCGAATTTCGCTCGAAGATCGACGAAAACGCTTCCGCCATTTCGTATCGGGTTTTGAGCCGGGTTGCAACTCGGTCACGTGATCGTCCGATCTTCCATTCCGGAAAAATCTAGAAAGTCGGAACATTCGGGAACATTCTGCAGGTTTATAAAAGATGAGTTTTCGACGTTTCCCTTTTCAAGTAGGTGATACGTCGCCGTTCGAAAGGTTCAATACGAGATCTCAGGAGGACAGGAATATGTTCTACGACACTACTCCTATACGTAGGAGTTACTGGAACGATCTGGATACCACCGTAAGCCAAATCATTCATTCTTTTTTCCTTTCTCCTGAACTCTATATAAATAGTAATCGCAGGCATTCCTACGTTTACACGCTTCGTACCTTATTTTCTACGCTTTATTAATCGATTTCGTGCTTACGTCATATTCTAGAAACATGCTGGAATCGATTATTTAGCTTTTACATTCTTTAATTAGTTTTCTGTCTTACGAGACCGGTTAATTATATCTTATACACTAAGAAGATGCTACCTGAACAATGTACGCATCGTACGTAGCATATGCCACGATTTCTAGAGCTATGTAAGCTCTGGAAGTGTGGATATAATTGTGTATTTAATATGCTCTGCTGATTCTAGAGTGATTGTGTTTGGTGTGCTAATTTGATTATGCTGAGGTGTGCAGATCTCTAAATACTGTATTCTGTATTATTGTTAGTTATTCTGCGGTACTAAATTTTTAAAATGTCTCATGAAAGTTGTTGGTGCGGGAATTAGTGGTTTTAATTAGGTTGAGTGTGTTCAGAAACTGGTTAATTGTTTTATTTTTAACACAGGTATCTGGATGTTTAACCTGCCATTAACTTATCTACGAACGAACTGTGGCTTGATTTGTGCCTTTCCGACAGAGTTCTATAATTAGATTAATTGTAACACAAAGATAAACACTATTACCAACCATTTAATAACTTATCTTGCGTACTCTTTCGTTAGAACTGTGATTTGGCAATCTGTGTGAGAATTTGTACTTGTCGATTAGATTTGTCGCACAGAGAATCTTAAAATGTGACGATTTTCTTCTTGTTTCCTTCCTGGTCGTCCAGATGGTTGCCGAATTTGCATAACTAGATTTTAGTTCGTTCTTGTTAATAAAAATAAAATGGAATTAAGCAGGTCAAAGTGTGTGCATTGTGTGATTCCGAAAAATATAGAAGTTATAAGTGAAAGTTTTAAAATTACTTCAATCCCTTATTTATAACTAATTTGGTGATTTTTAGTAGACCATTGACCCAAAAGTGACATAAAATATTAAAAGAATGAATTACTTTGAGAAATCGATAAAAATAGAAAATATTGTTGAAAATTTTATTGAGGTGGGATTGAATCTTATTGATTTAGGACAAAGTGATAAAATTTTCTTGAAAGACTGCGTCGAGGATTACGTTGAGGTCTCGTTAGAGAAATTAAATGCACTTGCTTTGTTTTGTTAAGCATTTATTTGGAACTGTGCCTCATAAAATGCCAATTAAATTTGTCAAATTTTCTGTTATTGTAGATAAATAATAGCAAGAGGAGGTTGCTAGTTTAATTGCTGGAGAAAAGAAATATTCAAAGCAATATACAGGTATACCTTGCTTTATGTCAGTAATTGGTTCCAGGAGAACGACTTAAATCAAAAAACGACGTAAGTCGAATTTACTTGTCACTAGGCTAAACCATAAATTGCCAATTCCAGTTCTGTATTTTATTTATTAATGCATTTTTAATAATGTATGGTTAATAAGGATCTATTTTAAACCTACAAACAAATAAATTTTAGTTTTTAATATAGTACAGAAAAAAGTAATCTAAATTTACGAATGCATGTACTGTAAATGTATATATTTTAATATGATTTTCTGTGCTTTAAATGCTTTTCTAGTGATATTACAACTTCAATATTTGTGGCGGACAGACGTAAAGTCAAATAAAATGACTTAAACTTGATTTTTATTTTCCATATACTTTTTTGACAAATGACGTATAATCAGAAACAACATAAGTCGAGGTATACCTGTAAATTTACTACAATATTATCATTTTTGTTTATTCAAATTTAAATTAAATTAAAATATTCCTTGCATAGGTTGAGAATAGCAATATCCTTTTGGTTTGTTCTATATCATCATTTTATATTATTTGTGATTCTGAATTTAAATTACATTGATCTTAATAAATGGAAAATCTTTTGTTTTTTAAATTTTTACAGAAATATCTATCATTGTACAACATTACATATTCACTTTTATTATTTAATCTAATAACAAAGCTTGTAATGTCTTTTTTATTTTAATATTCAAAAATGGTGGTTTTATTCTCTGTTCTAAACTATACGTTATTAATTAAATTTCTGTGTATATGCTGTCTACTAGGATGTTGTTTATTAATAGGACTTATACTGTTGTAGTTTCAGATTAGCAAAGAAAGGAGATGTTAGTCAAAAGTCAAAACAAAATATCTTTATTTTTACCTGATATTTTGACTTTTGACTAAGATCTCCTCTCTTTGCTAATCAGAAACTACACTAATATAATAAGTCTTATTAATAAAGTCCTAGTAGACAGCATGTACACAGAAACTTAAAAGAGTAAAGACATAGAGGAATAAATATTATTATATTTAATGAGATCTGCTTTACTAATGTATATCTGGTGAATTTTTTGGTATTATCACATCACTTTGGCAAATTTCAGTAATGTTTCACTGCAGATGGAAGTTCAGTTATCTAATAATTAATGTTATCAACAGATAATAGAAAAGAAAGCTGGTAACAATGATCTACAGTAGGAATTTAATTTCAAATGCTCAGTTAGCTTGCAAGTAGATTATCAGTTATTATACATATTATATATGGTATAATTTCTCCTTTGACATTATTTTTTTAAATAATAGTTATTGTTACATTGTAACTCTTACTTTACACACAACTTTCAGTTAATGTTCTTTCAAATTATACAACTACTTTTCATAAGTTTGTCATGCTGCAAAAAAAATCATTTTATTACATTTCAATGAATACATCAAAACAAATTACAAACATTTCATTTTAAAATATGAAAGAGCAATATTAAACTATTAATGTATTGATCATCATTATATTATTTAACAGAAAATAATGTATTATTCCGAATGTTTGGACCAATCTGCATAAAAATGCATGAAATGCTAATACATTTGAATTGCTAGAATGTTCTAGAACATCTGGCATTTGACTGTACAAGCATTTATCATATCTGTATGTAAAAATGGATCTGGAAGGCAGTTAACTCATTCAGAAAATAATCAAATTGATACACTTTGGAAAGAAGGAAACACAAAAGGAAATTACTATTATTTTAAAATCAGAATCTTTGATAAGTAAATGCTTAAAACTAATTAGAGAAGATGGAGGAGTCGTTAAAATCCCAAGAAAACATTCTAGTTGACCTAAAATTACTGATTCTTGTGGTATTGTTTCAATTAAATGAATTTTTTATAGCAACAGATTTGTCTCAGCATAAAGTTTAGCTTGAAAATGGTCAATGACATTTCTAAGTATGTGTCTACTACAACCATGTGGCAAATACTGGGATAATTACACTACAGATCACAAGTTCCTGAAGAAAAACCACTTTTAAACAAAAAACAGCAAAAATGTCGTGTGCATTGGACAAAAGAACATTTGCAGTGGTCAACAGATGATTGGAAATATGTCTGGAATGATGAAAGTGCTTTTTGTCTGACCTTTTGGTGATAAAGGAGTACATATTTATTGCTGCAGAGGCAAGAAATTTAAACACAAATATGTTAGAAAATTGGTGATGTTTCCATCTAAGGTATGAAGTGCATGGTGAACTTTGTGTTCTGAAAAACAGTTACTGCTGATGTGTATATTTATATGATAGACTTTTTTTAATTCCAAGTATTGAGGGGATACATCCTGATGAAAAAATAAAATATATCAGCAGGATAATATGCTGAACTGGTTGAAGGAGAGAAATTCCTCTTCTTCACTGGCCTCAATTCATTTGATTTATCTCTAATCTTCCTTCTCTAATTGTCTTCATTTTACAAAATGAAGATATAATTAGAGAAGGAAGATTAGGAAAATCCAAGTAAGTTATTAGAACCAGAGGATATTCAACAAAATATTAAAGTTAATTTAATTTTAATATTTTGACAATTGATTCAATTATTGAATATTTTATAAAAACTATTCCAAACTTATTTCAAAAGATAATTATTAATGTATTGATCTTCATTAACATATTATCTTTTTAAAATATGAAAGAGCAATATTAAACATGTGTTCTTAATTTTCACATTTATTCATTGAAATGTGAAAAAATTTATTTTATTACATTTCAAATGACAAAACTATGAAAAGTAGTTATATATCTTAAGTGATATTATATAACACATAGACATTGAAGTTGTTAATAACTCCATTATGATATGTATATATTATAGCCAATCAAGAATGTGTAAATGGTCAGAAATCCTTGGTTAGTATAATAATATTCATTGTATATATATTAGCCTATAATTAATATAAAATTATTAGAATGTAATTCCTATAGTATTTAGATTATGGGGAAAAGAATTAGTTTTATACTGTATGAGTATGTATGTCATGACTAAAGCCTGTGAATCAGTAAAGCTAGAATTAGCTGGCTAATGCTAGCTTTAGCTTTATCCAAGTTGTTGGTTAAAGCAGGTAACAATTTCCCCCTTAGCTAAATCTGATAATATTTTAGAGAAATAGAATCTTGATTTTAAAAAGAAAATTACAGGTATCCCTTATATATCAGTTACATTCCAAATAAGTGTCCTATTATGAAAATTCATGCTATGCAAAACAAAGGACTATGCAAAACATAGTTACATTCCAGAAGTTAGCAAAAGTATACTATTCTTTTTCTTTACTAAAGAGAAATATGTTTGTTTATTAAAGCAATTGATAATTAATATTAATTTAATTGTGATTTGTTAACATGTAATACAGTTATTTTAAGTTAAACAAGGGCATTGTTTTTACAAAGTATTGTAGTCATCTCAGCTTTTTTAATCATCTTGATCAGAAGTATCTGCAACATTTTCATATCTTTTTATTTTCATCATAACATTTATTTCATTCTCCATAAAAAAATTTTCTTAATAGTCAAAAATTTATTCTAGCAGACCGGATTTGTTTGGTCGAGTTTGGTCGAGTACTGAGTGAAATTTTCCAGAATTTGTGTTCAAAAAGTACTGAGATATTTTCTGTCTTTCCTTTTTGTCATTTTTATGAATGAAGTTATCATTTGTAGGTAAGTAATACCTACAGTTAAAAAAAAAGGTTAATAACACTTTATTAAATATGAAGAATAAACATTTTTAGGTAAGTTTTTATTTAATCTATAAAAAGAGAAATCTGTGACAGTCTGAAAGCAATGACAGCAAAACTTGGTTGATAGTGCAATTTTTTCTTCCTTGTCCTAACTTTTCTATGTTTTCATTAAAGTAAACCTGACGAAAAGTATGAAATAATTTCAACAATCCAAAATCCTTAGGCAAATTTGAAATAACACACATGCTTGCTTGAAAAAAAAAAAATTGAATAATGACATTTTGTATGGAGATTTCTAAAACTGTGTTAGAATGAAATTGGAAGTCGTGATGTATAGGAATATCCCAATTTTCAAGCAATGTTATACAAGGAATACCTGTACTTCTTTACTCATTTGATCTGCATTGAAAAGATCATGTATTATTTGGCTAAAGTGATACCCTAACTTTTCCTTGCTTTATACAAAATGGGGCAAATAGTGTAGTATGAATTTTAAGTTTTACTCATGCTTCATCCATCTCTTTTTGGATGTTGATTTTACTTGCTTGTGACTTAAATGAAGTCTGAAATATAACAGGTTGTTATGCTGCTTAAATGAAAGTTGAAGGTAACTTATGTAACAAATGGCCAATTTTTCTAAGTGTACCAGTTTTAGTGTATGTGCCTGAAATATCTTGGATCAGAAACTTGTGAACACTGTTACTAACTTAGTGTACTGTACATGTTACCACTAAAGTTTGAAAGTTGTTAATGTGTACATTACCTAGCTAATCTGCAGATTAACTAGGGTGATCCGTTAAAGTTATGAAAACTGTTCCATTTCTCAAATTAGGTATCTAGATAATGTGCAGAGTATCTAGGTAATCCACACATTACCTACTAGGCATTCGGTAAAGTGAAAATAAGATCTTTGCCACAAATAAATGTACCACAAATAGGTGTGCTTGTCGCAAAAACCAATTGCTATGAAATTCAAAGTGTCACCAATCTTTAGACTGCACTAATAAGTAAGCACAATTGGATAATGTTACCTATGGTGAGTAAAATGGTGGCTTGTCTCCGATTCCAGCAAAGAGAAGAAAGGAAACAGTGGGGATGCACGTTCAAACCTAACCTAACCTATTCTAATAATCTGGTTGGTAATAATTATGGTAATTAGAATAGGTTAGGTTAGAACATGCGTCCCCACTGTTTCTTTTCTTCTGTTTGCTGGAATCAGAGACGAGTCGCCATTTTACTCACCATAGGTAACATTAACTGCACAATTATATCATGCGATCACCAGAAAAAGTATTTTTGTCTCTGGTCCAAAAGTAGGGTATCGTTGAAGTCGTCTCAGTCTCCTCAGTTCAGATAGATACTCAGTCCCGAAATTCCATAGGTGGTTATCTATATAATAATTTCCTTGATTGTATTAATATTTTAAACCATTTGAGGCAACTGAATCCTTAGGAGGGGGACCTGGCAGAGACCAACCTAGCAGGGAGTGAAAGCTTATCACTGCCGAAACCATTGAAGACTTGACCATGGCTATTGTAGAACAGATAGATTCAATTATGTGCCACTGTGATTTCTGGCTATGGGGACCATTTAAGAATATGGTTTAAAGAAATGGTAATGTTGCTGTTGCAACATTGGCACACTTAAAAAGACAGTACTGCATTTGTATGTGTGAAGCATCACAAAGGAAACAATTGCAATCAGCCATTGAACACTGTGTAGTCTTCAAACTTTACACCTAAACAATGGGTAATACATTCAAAACATTTCCTGCATTGCTACTGTTATGTTCTTGTAAAGATTGCTTAATCTGTACAACACAGAATTTATACATTCATATGGGAGACATTGTTTTTTCATTTGTTTCTGTTATTTTTGTTTAATGGTGCCATTTATCCTGTAGCGGACAATTTTTGGACTAAAATTTTATTTTGCAAAATCCTTTTTCTTGTTCTTTGATTAGCATGTACACAAATTTTGGTATCAATCAACTAATTGGTTGGAGTTAGTCCTCTTAATGGGACAACTTTAACTGTGATTAGCTGGTGTTTTAAATGTTTGCAGATCTGAAGACAAAACACACACAGTTTAAGAAACATTTGTTGATCCAAATATTACAGAAGTAGCATCTTCAAAATGTGTCCGTTTAGAATATAAAATAATTGGATTATATGTGGATATCACTGTTTATAAGGATTTGCTAAGAAAGCTGTATGTGAATGAGTAGACAAATTCTGATTATCTTAAATATACTTGTGCAACATACAATTATAAAACTTTTTATTGTAGCAATTATGCTAATAGTTTATATTATTTATTTCAGACGAGCCATTTTGACGAGCCATCTTGGAGGAATCCTCCGCCATTCAGGAATTCTGGTTCCATGCCTGGAAGTCCACAGACCAGACACCGTAACAGTAGTGGCCCTTCTTGGTCCGAAGGAAGTATTCCAATTAAAGTAGTGCACGAGAAGTCTTCAAAAAATAGTAGTTCAGACTGTTCAGATGGACAAGCTAGTTCTCAGGGAAGTGGTCCTTCCATTAATTCCGAACAGTCTCGTGAACCCAGAGTTCATCATATTCCCATTATGGTCGAACCTAGGGGAGATTCAAATTCTAGTCACATTAGTAACAAAGGTAATGAACATTCTAAGACAAATCAGTCTAATGTAGGAACTGAAAATATGCAAAATTCTGTGGGATCAAAACACTCCCAAGGAAAATTTTCTACTAAAACGCATTTGAATAGTGAAGAAAGCGTTAAGCCAACTACCGACGATACATCAGAAGATGCAAGTCATCAACCCCGTGTTTGTCATATTCCTATAATGGTAGAACCAAGAGTAGAACAGAGTTCTCATTCGCCTGACAAAACTACTCCTAAAAAGACTTCGCCTTTTCAGGGTTTTCCACCACGCAGTAATAGCTCGAGTCAACCGTTTGAAGGACCGTCATTTAGTACTCGTAAGACCGAATCTGCTCCCCATCTTTCCGAGCACAAAACACCAAAGAAACCAACTGCTAAACAGAATGTTGGACCACACGTTTCAAAAGTACCAATAAATATTAATGAACCACCCCAAATGAAAGTAAACCAGACTAATCCAGCAGAATTTGCTCTGAATCAGATTGCAAAAGTAAAAAATGAAATGGTAGGATTAAAAATACAAGTCGAAGAATTTACTGGATGCTTTCAAGACAAACAGTATCGTTACTTAGATGAAATGCTTACGCAATGCATGTTGAAATTGGACAATATAGATACAGGAGGATTGGACGAAATCAGAAAGGCTCGAAAAGTGGCAATTAACGAGGTACAAACATGTATATCGTTATTAGAATCAAAAATTACTCGTAAAAATTCAAAATCTGAGGAGTCTAATCAGGCCATCACTCAGGAAGCTATGGATGTCTGTAAGCAGTCCGAAGAAGTTTCGGTCAAGTCATCAAACAACATTCCATCTGAAAAAATGGAAGCAAACGAATCAATAGACAAAATAACTGATAACACTTTGCAGAATACTCAGTGTTCAGAAATGACCAAAGAGAACGTGCACTCGGGAAAAGAGAAGGGAGATGAAAAATCAGAGGAATCAAAAGTGGCCACAGAAGGAAAAATGGAGCTTCCTGGAGTAAATAACAAAAAAATTAAAGTAGAGGACAAAACAGAAGTGAAAGGACAATTAGTAGAGAGAACAGAAGCAGAAAAGATGGAAATCGACACTACAGAAACTAATCACACAGAACAAACGATGGAAGTCGAGAACGCCAACAATAAGCATTTTCAAAATCTTCCCACCAAAGGACCAGAAGTACAAACAGATCAAGACGCCTCATCCGACATTTCCAAATCGGCGGAAACCCAAAAGGAATTTCAACAATAGTGTTTTTCCCGTCTAACTTAAAATGCAAAAATGAAAAAACTGTCGAGCTCTCTTACAATTTGCAATATTTAAAAAAGTAATATATTAACTTCTGCACTAAATAACCAAGATCTATTTTTGTTTTGCATATTTTATACCATTTCTTAGTACGACATTAACTAAAATACTAATTTATTTTTTCGTCTTTCATTAATTTAAGAGGGAGGAATCGCATTTCTAACGGTTATGTCGATCTGCACAATTTAAACGTTTACTTAATTGTCTGTGTAATGGATTGTCAGAAGTAAATCATCTTTCTTTTGCATTGTAAACTCGAAAGTATTATTGAGCCAAAGGTTACATAAAGTTTAGAAATGTGTAAATAGTATTTTAGTGGTTTTTTTCCCCCTGTCAGTGAAATTTGTCTTATTTACATTGCTTTGTAAATAGTGTTAAATGAAAAAAATAAATTAATTTTATCACAAATGTTTAACTGTTTACATTTACCCATCAAAAGAATTGCTGTGATGAAATGCATTTTTTGCTTCATGTATTGTCTTTTGCTACCCGTACTACATCAATAAAACTTTCTTGTACAAATCTTAATTAGTAAAGTGGTTGTCCAAATTTGTTACAAAGACTCTTCCATATAAAATGGAAAATTTGCCATGCCAAGAAGTGTAGGTTCATTAACATAAATGTAAATTCAGAACTGGGAGTGTATCTACACTAAATTAATGATGACCTTGGCTGTGTTTTTCTTTTTTCGAATTTTCGAAAATGGGGAAGATAGTCGTCTTACTATTCCAGTTTGTATGTGTGCTTCAAACAAGTTTACCATATTTCTCTCTTGTTATAATAAGTAGTTTAATTGTTGAGGGAATTTAAATTGAGGGTTTAGAGTCTAAACCCTCAATTTATCAGTGATTTTTTTTTTCTTACTGGCGTTACTACAGGTAATGATAAATACCCGTGCATTGATATTACAAAATAGATGTACAGTTTTGATTATCCTGTATAAATGCTGAATCATGGATTTACTCATGCTAGTCGTTCGTCTTCGCGTTTCTTAACCCTGGAGGGAAATATGACTTCATGATCAATAGTTAGCGACAAATCTCTAAAAACTCGGTCAAGGTCACCCGGAAGATTAATTTGCATTTTTAGTGAAAGTTTGGGATAACATCGAATATTTTAATCAAAACTGAAGAATTGCATATTTAATAGATATCTCGTGAAAATAAGCCTATAAAATAATCTGGAAATATAGACCTACTGCTTCTAGATTAAACTACTAGTATATATTAATTCTATTAGGCGCACTCGCTTGCCCAAAAGTCAATTAACCGTGTTTTATTGTGTCGCGTACTGTCGAACAGAATACTTTTTTTTTTACAAAACTGACGATAGAGACGTTCTAATCGAAAAGTGTTAATCCAGAACAAACCAAAAGTTACTTAACAGATCATCTATAAATATTTAAACTTATTTTGAGAGTTAAAGTAAACTTTATTCGTAACGTTGACCCGAGAATTTCCTTTTAAATATGTAAAAAAAATTTTGCTGAAAGTAACATAAATATAAATTGTTTTATTTACATGAGAAAGGTAAAATTTCAAATTTTAAGAAGTATTTTGCATAAATATCTTGACTTCTACCGGTTTATTCGGTTAAATTACTATACAATGTTGCAACCTATTTCTTATCAGATATTTGATACAAATAATACGTGAAAACTGATACGACAACTCTGCCTTTATCACCGAATCGGTTGTTAGTCGAATTCTGATTACGGTTATAAATGAAGGTTACGTTCCCGAAAATACAGCTTGGATTATATAATGTTACTCCGAGTCAGTAAATAAATACGTCATTTATAACTCAAGTCGTAAAAGCGGGGGTTATAAAATCTCCATTCGTAAAACGACAGAGCGTATAGTTCTTAAGAAATTAATTATAAATGTCGGATTTATAACTAGATTATTAAATGTCATGTTAATTAAAATACGATCAATTTTACGAATTTAATTACCGGCGAACGTCGTAGGATGGCGCTGAAAGGTTCAAAGTTCGGAGTTAAGATGGCGACTCTCTTGTTTACTTTTCGAACAATCTCACGAGCTTTCTGAAAGAAGAAAAAACCATTTTTTTTAAATCTCACCAAAATCTATTTTTAAGCGAATTTATGTACTGTCGAGTGATCATTTTACCTGATAAAATATGGAGATTTTTGGTCTGAAACGAAATATTTCGTTGAAACTTTACCAAGTTGTAAGTAAAACGAAATTGATATTAACTTTTGTAATTGATAACGTTCGGTGTCATAACACGTTGTTACGTCATGATAGAAGCTACTTAACTGGCAAATTTAACATTAACAATAGAATCGAATTTATCTGTTGTTCTAGTTATTCATTCGTGACTAATTTGTATTACTGTACTTAAATGTCAACACGTGCCTTCTAGTATGGCATTCGGATCTTAATTAGGCAACGACTTCGTTGTCTAATTAAGATGCACACGTTTCATTCGATTTTAAATTAGGCCATAAAAACTATCATTTAATTTACTATCTGGTTTTTATTTTCATTATAAATATGCAAATATATTTGGAATTTATTCTATCGATAAGAGGTCACATTTAACCATTAGCAGTTGCGATTAACATGCTTCAGTAAGTACATTGAAGAATGTTTCGTGAAGTTCAAGAATCCTGTTTCGATAAGACATATTTATAATTTTTTTCTTTGGGTGCCGTGGGCTACCTTCCTGGTGCAAATGTGGCTCTGGACGAGGCAGTTAAAACATCGGAGCCATAGACCATGAGAGTAAAAGAGTCGTGGGAACCGACTGTCTACAGTCAACGGCTCCGATGAGGTTCCAACAGCTTTGTTTGAAGCTGCAATTTTACCATTTCGTAGAAGTGAATTTTGTAGTTGTCAAATTGGTATTCTTTAAATGTTACATTATCTTTTGTGTGTTATAATTTTATGATGCAAACAGGACTGGTTTATCAATTAGGTTCTCTAAGCATGTACAGTACCTACCTATAATGACTAGCTTTTAGATGGTGGAAAAATAAATATAACTGTACATTTTTACTTAAGGTAAAATAACATGTATAAAGAAATGTAATGAGAGGAGTTGCTGCACATATTTTTTTTTATATCTTAAATGTCAGATTGGTTAGGTTAAAGTCAAAGGATGTAGATTTAAATTGTGTCTGGAGCAGAAAATAGGCTAGGACTGACCAATTTTTGCAAATAAGCAGTTTTTTTATTTATGTTTAAAACTTATAAATATTTAAACAATTAATTTTAAAAGGAAACGATGAAACATATTCTTAATATTTTCTACATCCAAAACTGTGATACAAAGACATGTCTTTGTATCAGAATATAAATTTATGAAATCTAATTCAAATTGTTTCTTGGAGTAAAAGTTTTTTGAAACTTTCAAGTGTTTTTTTGGGCTTTACATCCATTAGAAGCAAGTAGAGAAAACATTATTTATCTTTGATGATGATGATGACTGACATCTAGTTAAAACTTTATCGTCACTTAATGATGATTCTTTTGCTAGAACACGCTTGAGATTTCTGAAAATTTTTTTCCAAGAAAAGTAAATTAAAAGTTTTAAAATATCTAAAAATATTTTAAAATACTAAAAGATAATCAAAACACCTTTTGAAAGATTCTGAAATCTTTGGAATATTTTTATGCTGCATAAGCACATTAGCAATTAGAGAGATCGTAAAAAGGTAATAATGTGCCTGAATGTATCAATATATTGTCATGTATTTAGTAATTGGTACAACCAGTTAATGAAACTGATAAAAAAATTAATATACACATTTACAAAATCAATTTTTAAGAATTGAACATGATTTATTTGAATTCACTTGTACAGAGAGGTTCTAAAGTCAATGATGCTTTTATAAACTGAGTTAAAAGATTTTAACTCAGTTTATAAAAGCTGTTCAAAATGAAACCCTCTGTGTTCTATAAATAAATTAGAACATTTTAATACAGTTAACAGCAATCAAAACTGGCTTGAACCACTTTAATTATCATCATAAAATATTCATAAATATTCTGAGTTAACTAATTTGTATAAAACACAACAAAAAAAAAATTGTCATTTACATATGAATTTCTCAACTGTTATGTATACTTAACAAGAGAAAGTATTGGAATTGTGTCAAATTTGAGTCTTTGAGTTTTTTTTTTTTTTTTGCAAATCTCTATTTTGAAACCTCTTGAACCCAGAAAGGTCAAAAAAGTGGGAGAAAAATTGTGTGTGTGTGCATGTATGTGTTGGCATCTATTTTGTTTAATATCTTAGGATGATTAAGAAGAAATCTGGCATGGTAACTTGTATATACGGGGCATTAATGCTATTAATTAAATGGCAAAGGGGATGGGGCGATACAGGAGGGGTTATATTTTGTATCTCAAGTAGAATGGGACTAAATTAAAATTTTACTCATTATTAGCATTTACAATTTCTTAAAAAACACATCGTTGTCCTCAAAACTACTACCTTTTGCTTTTTTATAATAATTAATAATATAATCTCATAACAGATGGAGCTACACATTTTATTATTATAATTAATAACATAGAGGCTATTAAAAAATAACCTCTGTTAACAGCCAGGAACATTACACATCTCGCATTACTGGATTTTTCTTATTAATAGTGATATACAAAACTATATTATTTGAAAAACCATTAAAATTATATCTTTCTGTTTTACTTGATGGCCAAGCAGTTAAGGTAGAAACCTTCCACACTGGGGTCCCAGGATCAAATCCAGAAGGCGTGAAAAACCTGGGAATTTTCTGTGGGTGGTCCATCCCTCAGTCATTCACCCTATTTTGGACTTTGCTGAACCCATAAAAGGCTTGCTAAAAAAAGACCCTTGTAGTGTCCATAGGGCATTAAAATAAACCCTGTTTTAATTATATTTAATTTCTATTTTATTATTATAATTTTATTTTTAATGAATGTCTGTAGACTTAGGTATCAATTTTTAGTTTGTAATGATAAAAAGTTTTAAAACTGAAACCTAAGAAACATAACCTAATGATTGCCTTAAATAATTGGGCTATAACTCTGCTAATTTAATAATTAATACTAAGTAATTTGCTACTAGAGATAGACATTAGGTGCCATCTCATAACTAAATTAATTATTATAATTTTAATAATATATTAAATAATTTAGAATAATAATTTAATTTCAGGCAATTGTTTGGTT